GATTTCTTTACGAATTTTATCGCGTTGGTTGATAGCCTGTGATGTTTAGCTGTTGATTTGTTGATAAGGTTTTAATGATAGTGTGAAGAGGTCGTGGATGAAGGCGTAAGAAGCTTAAATGAATAAATTTATGTAACGAGTGCTAAAAAAGACCTTTTTTGGCTGAAATTTGAGTCATCTTCCGTGGCTTACAAGAATTTCTGTCTTTTTGCTGCAAAAAGAAAGCACAAGGAAAGTCAATAGTGAGATATGGTGGTTTTGAGAATTCTAAGAACTTTTCCTTTTTGAAAAAATTATCAAAATTTCTTAGAATTTCTTGACATCAGACCCGTCCGATCGCGTATAATTTTATGTTAAATTATTTTTTGTGTTTTAGATCCAACTCTGATTGACATTCCAAGCGGCGATTGTACAATGCGTCAGTTTGTTGATTCGATATTTTACATTGGAAAGGGGAAGCGTTCACGCCCTCTTCAGCATCTCGTTGACGCAGTTCGAGCTAAAGATTTTGGTGAAAGTGTTGTGATGGTAAGTAAAATAATGTAGAAGATTTCACAGTTTTTTTGCAATATTTTTATTGCTCTAGTTGACCTTGAATCTCTCTCCAGATCTAACCAAAATCAAAGTTTCCCTATGTATTTGCACTCCTCTGAGAGAAGAAAATGTTCAGAAGCAGCCTGATTGCTAGTAGACTTTCAGCAGTAGCCACACGCTGGAAAAACTGCTGTTGTTCGAAAATTGCTGACAGGCAAGCTGATGGCATTTTTGACTTTGGCATTATTTATGTGATGTTAACATTTGCTCCGTATAGTGGACGGGAAGGATTAACCCAGCTTTTTATTTTTTACGGCTGCTTTCGTAAGCTAAACGTGCTCCGATTAGCTTTTTTTCATTGTCCGAGTTTTAACTCGCCACTGATGCAGCTGGCAACTTCTCCATTCTTTTCTGTTTTGGGCTTATCTCATCGTCTTTTTGGGGTGTTTAAGTCACTTGCAGCCTTTCTGCGTTTTTTTAACTTATGAGCATGGGCACTGATTCGGTTCTTTTCTGTATTACGGATCTTGCCAGATTTAAGATACACAGTAAACAGAGGACTGAATGCTTTCGGGGTTTTTTGAAATTTTTTCCGCATGAGTTTCCAGTTTTATTGCTTCCCTGGGATTCATTGTAAATTCCCTTTTCTGTTTTGGCGGTTACAGTTGCTAAGGGCGAATAGAAGATAAAGTGAAAGCTGAGCATCGCTATAACAGACAAAACATAAAAATCCCTACCAATTTTCTTTTGCCGCTGATCGTTTTTGCCTAAAAACGCCACCGGTTATCATGAAAAACTCGAATATTGCCGTTTTCTTGTTCTGCTACTTTCCGGAGCTTCTCATTTCGGAAACGGTCGTAAACTTCTGTCATCCTTTTCTAAGGTTCTTGTACACCACTTCGTACTTCAGACTCGTAAAATCTACAGTTCCACTTTTTATTTTCAAAGAAATTAAGGGGTTTCTTGGTTTAAAAGGTTTCGAAGTCTTCTGATAAAATTTGTTGCGGTAGCAGATTTATGTTTATTGAGCTGTTGAGAAAAATGTGAATTTTTTTGATGTAGCACTTCGTGAATTCAACAACTTGCAAAAAAAGGCAGGGAATGGACTGTTCTGGTCTCTAGGACTTGCTTTGCAAATCCGTTCATAATATTAGAAATCGATTCTTCAGTCAGAATTTACATTCCAGGAAAGCCTATAACCAACCGAATTTCGTTTGTCTAAAAAGATAGGGAAACTCGCGATTCTCAGTTTGCCGTAATTATGATTTTCAGAAAAGTAAAAAGCTGCAAAGGATAGTCGGTCTTTGGGCCGAGGGGCATGGCATCGTATCGTTGCATGTTTTCCAGAATACAATTCCGGTGGAAGCGTTTACACGAGAGGCTGCTATGATTGATGCTATTGGTAGGGTTACTGCTTTTTATGCGTTTTTTGCAGCTATGCAATGCAGAAACGCATATTGACGAGGGGTTGTCTGTGTGTCCTTGTGTCTGTGCGTGCTTCTATACCAGTTTTTCATCTCAGGATCTGTAAAAGCTACAGGGCTGAAACTGTGGGAACTTTCTACATGCACGTACGGACCCCAATCCCCCAAATGGGCGCCCTTTACCCGCGTGGTGCCCACATACGAGCCT